GAGGAGGGTTAATTCCCTCATTTCTTCTTGATCTGGGAAAAGGCCTTTAGGTAAAGTTTCTGTTTTAGTTTTCAAACATGAAAATATGGTATGTGTGTGTGTGTGAGAGAGAGAGAGAGACTGGCAAGCTCTAAGCAACTATGGTTGGTTAGCCTTTGAGTCAGCACCAACTCATGGCAATCTTGTGGATGAGAAATCTCCAAGCCTCTTTGTCTTCCATTGCTCTGCTTGGTCCTGCAAATTCATGCCCGTGATCTATCCATCTGATGTGCAGTCTTCCTCGCTTTCTATTGCCTTCTACCTTTCCTAGCATTATTGTCTTTTTAAATGAGTTCTGCCTTCTCATGATGTGGCCAAAGGATGACAGCCTCAATTTAGTCATCTTGGCTTCAGTAGTATAGATGCAGACAGAGTCTCAGGGGGAGTTCAGGCTTGATCTGTTCTTGGACCCATTTGTTTGTCTTTTTGGCCAACGACAGTAACCTCAGCACTCTTCTCTAGCACTACGTCTCAAATGAGCTGATTTTCTTTCTGTTGGCTTTCTTCACTGTCCAGCTCTCACATCCATACATGATGATGGGGAATACAATGGCTTAGACGATCCTAACTTTTGTGCTGAGTTGTATACTTTACTCATAGCTGCCCTCCCCATTCTTAGTCTTCTTCTGATTTCTTGGCTGCAGTCTCTGTTCTGATCAATGTTTGATCCAAGGTATGGGAACTCTTTGACTATTTTGATTTCCTCCTCATCTAGATCTTCTGTGGTCATTATTTTTGTCTTCTTAATGTTCAATGCTAAGTGTAGCACTTTTTAAAATTTTCTTTAGTAATTGTTCCAAGTCTTTTTTGTTTTCTGCTAGTAGTATGGTTTGTGGTTGTTGTTGCCGCATGCCTTCAAGTTGTTTCTGACTTATGGTGAACCTATCACAGGGTTTTCTTGGCAACATTTGTCCAGAGGAAGTTTGTTATTGCCTTCCCCTGAGGCTGAGAGCATGTGACTTGTCCAAGGCCATCCAGTGGGTTTCATGGCTACGCTGGGAATCAAACCCTGGTCTCCAGAGTTGTAGTCCAACAATCAAACCACTATGCCACACTGGCTCTTAGTAGCATGGTGTTGTCTACACATCTTAGGCTCTTGATGTTCCTTCCTCCAATCTTCACTCCTCTTTCCTCTTTCCTACATCAGGACAATCAGATGTAGTGGCACCCATTCCTTTAAAAGCATTTCATGGTGTTTTGTGATCTATGCAGTTAAAGGCTTGGCTGTAATCGACGAAGCACATAATGTTTAATGCAAAAGATTTATGCCTAATTTTTAGTGGCATCCACAAGAGCCATCCCTAAAGCTCCGGTTTTGGTCCACAAACCTCAGGGCTTAGGATGATCTTCGACTGGCAAACCTGCAGCCACTAGGCCATGCTACCAGGTCCAAGAGAGAAAAAGAGAGAGACTCATTATTCAACTAAATCCCCTCATTCACCCATTTATAAGATGCCAAAAGTTTCAGTGGTTCCCCCCCCCCTTAATGCCACCAATCTCCTAAAGCTTTTATTGGAGACTCCATCCCTCGGAGAACTCATTCTTTAAAAACCCTCACAACAGCACATAATTAACCCAGAATAAAAGTTTCCCTTCCCTTCAGCCCTCCTCCTTTTTCACTCAAAAGTAAATTACCCACCAAGTCTTTAAACCGTCCCCTTCTTTTCTTGGGCTCCCTTCCCGGTCCATTCATTTCGGGGGGGGACCCTTTCCAAAAGGGACCCCTTGTCCATCGGTTTCCCCTTGTTTCAACCCCTCCTCTCGCTCCACTAAGCACCGGACCAGAGCTCTAAACCTGCCAAGCAGACTGAGAAATGGCCAAGAGTCATTGTGGAGAAGCAGTTTTTAATGAACTATTGGAAAGTGGATGCAACCATGGCTCTTGGAAGTCACCCCTGTAAAGAAGCAGGTTCTCACTCTCCGGCCTTTGTGGTGCAAATGCGACCCACTCCCTCCTACTGTTTGGCCAGGGCAGAAAGAGAAGAGGACAGAAGGGGGTCAACTTATAGGGTCTCTGCTCCAGTTAATCAATCTGATTGGATTAGGGTCACTGCAAACCCTAATAGTGTCAAAGTGTCGTGCCCAAAGGGATTAGGCCCTTTGTTGCAAAGGAGGCCGTATCCTCTTGACCGTCCCAAGACGA